GGCGACGTAATGCAGCATGTTTTCTGTAAAGACTTTATCATTAATGCATATGCACAAGGGGGCAGATCAGGTCATTGGAACAGTCTTATTTTTGACATCTCCAAACTTTGCTCGACTTCACAACCTTAAAACTATTCACTTAGTGGAAGCTGGGGTTTGGGGGATGGGATGGGGTGTGACGCAGTTTTGTACCACGGGGTTGTAGATGTTAATCTTTTGGCTTTTAGAGCAAATTAACATTTCTAAACAGATTATTCCATATAATTTGATATTTTCATCTATGTGAGACAGGCAAGGTTGAGACTCTTACCTTCACCCTTTGGGATCATAAAGTGAATGACTGCATTAGGAGGTCACTGAATCCAGTGTAGACCATTACTATAGGGGCATGCATGCATGTGTTTGCCGACAGCAAAGAAACCAAAAGACTGAAAATTTTTCAGGTTGAAGAGCAGAAAGTACCAAAGGGACTTAGGCGGAAAACGATATCATGATCTAAGCTTTAGCTCCTGCTTTGCCTTCACCGACTTGTCCACTAGAAATTATTTGCCTGATTCTGGGTCCTCCACCAGTCCTAAACTCAGAATTGATTTGGGTTTGTCTCACAGGGTACGATCAGTCAAATGGACCCAGTTCAAAAGCTTAATTGCCTCCATCTCTTATGTTGCACCTAAATCTCTCCTTGCTCTCCTCCCGCAGCCCTACCCATGTGGAGAGCAGCTGCTGAATCCCGTTCTGTGAAATTATATGGAAGAGCATAACAATTATAGTAGTTTTATGTTGACTACCTTTCCTTGCTCGTCTTAAAATCTGAATTAGGGAAAAAGTTAAATCACAAAGATGGGGGAAGAGGAGTGGGCCCTGTTTGCCAGGAGGTTGGGTTGCTCTGTGTGTCCTTCTGGGCTCACCTGCTTGACATCTTTTACGTTGCAATGCCATGTTGTCCTTAGCTGGTTTCTTCCACTGTCACTTTTCACTTTATTTTCCCTGTCACTGTCTAATCAGCTCCCATTCTCATTTCTTCCCTTGGTTTCCCTTGACGGCTTCCAGCCATATGTTTTTTAGTGAACCTTGAATTTTGAGGGACTGAAATGAGGGTCAGAAAGTTCTTCTTGTCCCAGTTCCTGCTCAGAAAATTCCAACACTCTCTCTGCTGTTTGATTGCTATACTGGACTCCAGTCCTAGTCTGCCACAGTTATGTTCCCCATACCTTCTCCTAAAATAATCTGTTGTCTTCCTACTCTTTTTACTCCCTGCTTGGTTTCTAGCCTTTCCCTGGCATGCTCTGATTCCAGGTCTGACTTATGTGCTTTTACCCAGTTGTCAGTTTTCTACTCGTTTAACATCAGTCTTCCTTTCCAGCGGTAGTCTTTTCAGGCTTCTTCTCCCAAATTGCTCTTCCTTGTACCTGGTCCTTGTCCCCTCTGTCATCTTTCCCTGGTTGGTGTCAGGAGATGAGATGGTGCCTCCAAAGGAGAGGGACCAGGAGAAATTCCCTGCTGGCGTGCTTGGAAGAGACCCAGCTTTGGTCTGAGCAGTGAGAGCTGTGACTACAGAGAAAGCTATTCTCGGCCTCAGTTAGAGCATGTCCAGCGTGTAATCCTCAGGAAATTAAGCTGCAGAGAATATGCAAACTGCATTTATTTCCAAGAGCTTTTAGCTTTCAGGAATGGAAGAAGTTTTACCCCAGCCAAAAGAAAAAAGAAGCGCTATCTTCTCCCCAGATTTTTAGATTACTCTCCAGAGTGTTATTAGTGCTTCTACAAGGAATAATAGTTTAGTGTGACCAAGACTGCATTAATCTGTGATTTTTGTTCTCATAAACAGTGATTTTTCTTTCACTGAAAGTTTTTATGGACATTGTGCGTGTGTGTGAATACGTGTGCTTAAAGTGAGACAGCTAGCATGGAAGACATCATATGGACTGGTGAAGGCCTGGCAAAATTATCAGCTTTGTAAAATAAGATCTGCTAACGGACATCCCCATAGTAATGCACGTTCAGCAATCTAGAGGCTAGTTTGATTGGAGTTTCAGATGAAAGATATGCATATAAAATTACTTTGATGCAGATGTTTAAAAATACTAAAAAATCTTGATCATTTGCATTTTTGTTTAAAAACAATTTTGGATATAAAACAATGATGTGTTTTTAAAAGAAAGTACTCCTGCTTGAAATATCAGTTTTTAGGTGAGTTTGCTAACATTGCTGATATGTGCGAGATGAATTAGATATACATTTTGTGTTTGAAAGAGGGGTACAAAGCACTGGGTTGTAATCAAGCGACACTGAGATGTAATCCCAGCTGTCATTGATTCCTATGGTTTTAAGGCAAGTCAGCTCAACTCTTGCTGGTTGCATTCCTCATAAAAGTCTCATAGAAGCGCTGTGAGAAGAGTTATTACTCATTTTTCCATCTTCAAGGCACACTAGTATACATTTACATGTTAGCTTAATATTAAGTTTACCATTAGACTGAAATTGCTTTGCAAATGAAGGGTGATGCTATCTCTGTCTCATATTTCTTTAAATATTCCTGGGATATCTTAGGAGTGTTTAACATACAGATCTTTCATATGGAACAAGATATCTAACTACTGTGTAAACATCTGTTCTCTAAATGTTATGAATTATTTTGATTAAGGAACTTTTTGATTACTTCCTCTGCTCGGAAGACGGAGATGATGCTGGCTGTGCAGAGCAGATCGATGGCACATGTGCAGAGTGGCTGCAGAGGCTGCAGCAGAACACTGCCATCGAGTTTCGGCTGTGATTCATTCAGAGCCCAACTCTCCTTTTACCTCAGTCCAGTTTTTTTGCTCTGCCTCCCTCTCTTTTTTAATTATTCCTTAGCACTATACAGTGCAACTTAATCGAAGTTGTCTTCTTTAGATTGTAATTTTTGCATTGCGACAGTGCGTTTTATTTAGAATATTCAGAGTGGTTGAGGGAAAACTCCCTATCGTTCCATACACGCTTACAACGTGGAAGTTCAGGTACAGATGTGCTGGGTAACTTGACAGGTCCTGTGGTTTCAAAATCACCCCAACCTAACAGCAGCTGCCACAAAAAAAAGGGGCAGCCTCCCAGTCTTCTTGTTCCAAACCACACATACCCTTTCCCTGTATTGACTGCAGTTGCTGGTGGGATTCATTGAGCTGGCTTGCCTGCAGCTGGTGGATGAGAAGCAGAGGGGGAGAGGGAAGGAAAGGTGAGCTCGCGGGCTTTGGCAGCAGCCTGCACTTGGATGGGGTTAAGCCATCCATTAAACCACACCTCAGCCCGAGGTGTCTAGTGCCCTGCTCACTGGAGCATGCCGCGCTCCTTACGGTAACACATACTTACAGTGCTGCAAGCTACAGTGTAGTCTGCTGCAAATGCACGTCTGAGTTACCTTTTGTAGTCTTTCATAATGCAGCGGCTTTCTTGGTGCACTGGGAGTAACCTAACGCACTTAATCGATGCATTTTCTCTAAATCCTGCTCATCAGAAACTGGTTAAACTAGTTTGCCATTGGAACACTCCCCCCTGTCCCCTCTCCTGGATCCTGTCCCGCTTTCTGTAAATCATCACCTTCCTGAGGCTGCTGAAACTTTTCCTCATATCAACTAGGCTATCGTTTATATCTCGAAACTTAAGCCCTTGCTTTCTCAACCAGAGAGAGAAAGCTTTTTAATTTGTGGAAGCTTTTCAAAGCCTTATTAGCCACATCTTTAAAGTTCCCAAGCCCTTCATTCTGGGCGGAAAGACACACCACTTGCTGGTTTCTTCATGGTTAAGAAAACCGCACTCCCGGGCTGGGCGGTTTGCTGTTTGGGAGACAAATGAGTGGGCATGATTTCCTGATCTTTCTCATAGTGTGGTGTACACATAGTTCCTGTTACTTATTATTTTCAGTCCAAACTGATTAACAGCAGAGCTCAGAATTTACAATCGCGGTTTATCTTCCAGGGTCTCAGCAAACCCAGCTCTGTTTAAGATCCTGTCTACGGTTAGTGAGCAGCAGCGGCTTTGCTGTTGAAGCCATTGCTCTCTGTACCCCTGTATCAGACACTGAACTTAGTCCCTGTGTGTAACATACCAGTCTCATTTCCATTCCTGAGAAGTTCCTGACACTGTATTTATCGAATTTGGATATTCTGCTATTGCTCTGGAACAAATTTTTCAAGTTAAATAGGTGTGATGCTGAATACAAACCGAAACAGTAAGATAGAAAGAAGGTTGAATGCAAGTACCTAATCAGCATTGCTGGTGAAGAGGTTTAGGTTTTCTATTCAAGGGAATTCTGTGCAAGATAATTTTGACAGGATGTAATTATTTTATAAAAAAATGTTTAATTTTTTAAAAAAGAAAAATACCTTAACACTTTTATCTGAAACTATACTGTAGTTATAGGTAAAAAGCGAATACTTTATGTAGCATAGAAACAAATCGTTACTGGATATTTTTATAAACAGAAATTATGGTAATTCAGAAGACAAACTGAGGGAAGAAATCTGAGCATTGCAGAGGCTGTTATTTTTCAGTTTTCCCATAAGGACATGGTAGTATTTTATGGAATATTAGTGCCCAGTTTGCTTCTCGCTGAGGGCAGGTTGCTTTGGAAATCCTTTTGGGTAAAAGTCACTACTACGAAATGCTAGCAGTCTCCACCTCTGTTTCTAAATTATTGGTTTTCTTATTCTTTTAAATGAAGTAGGGATAAGAAGACTTTGAAGAATTGTTACTGACCTGAAAGTTAAACTACTGGTGATTTAGGTAACACCACGCAGGACTCCCTGACTAAAAGAGCAATGACCATAAAACAGATCTCAGGGGTCACCAAACTCATGTGGGCGGGCAGTGGAGGAGACAAGGAGGTGGTCATTTGTTTATGGATTGCCATCCTTCAAGAGAAAAGAAGAAAGTTCTGCAATGAAATCTTCAGTTCTTGCAGTAACAGTTACTTAACATCTTAATACGAGGAAAGAAGTTGCTGATTAAACTAAGGGAATCCCTTTGAAAAGCAAAGAGAGAACAATTTTGTATTTATCTTGTTGAATCAGTTTACAATTAGAAACTCAATATAGAGTAAAATTAGTCTGTTGTATTTTAGCAATGTACCGGTTTTCTCTCTTTCTCCCCTCTCTCCTTCACCCCTCTGAATCTTATCACTTGTGATTACTGAAGATCCAATAGAGCCCTTGTACCTTTTTGCAAAACTGCAAGGATTTATTCTTGTTCTCTGGCTCATTTCCCAGGTTTCATCTACAAAGAATCCCCTACATTTCAAAAAGAGCTGCTCTGTTCCATTTTCTCATCCTTCTGCAGTGTGCTGGTGTTCAGTAGCTGCTCTGTTACCCCTTGGAGATGGAGGCATCTGTTGCATGAAACACTGCAGATGTTGACTAATGCCTTGAAGAAACTTCCACCTATGGAAAATCCTATCTACATTAGGCACTGCGTTAGCATAGAGTTCTATACAGACAATAAAACTTTTAGGGAGCTTTGGGAAGAAATTTCTGTTCAATAAATGTAGCATTTTTCATTTAGGTGATACCTTTTTAGTAAATGCTAGTCTGAAAAATTGCACTCGTTTTAGGCATGTAATGTATGAGTATTTCGCAGTTTTAAGACTATGTAGACTTGATGTAGAAGTGATAAAGTTGCCTCTTTATTGGACCATTATTGTAAGCAAAAGTTTACTCTTGCCACTTCTCCTTTAAATACCAGTATGCTTGGACATTTTGGAAAGGTTAGTCTGTGGCATAAGCACTTTTTTGTAGCAGATTTGTATAGTGTTGAATCCCAGATGGAATCAAAGGAGCAAACCGATTTAAGCCTTTAGCCAGCATGCAAGGGTATTTTAATGAAAATTAGTCTGATTCTCTCTTTGAAGCTGTGCATGTGCTGAAAAGGAATGCTACAGATATTCCTTTAGGTAATGCTGGGGACTTATCTACCATTACTTATGCCAGATTGCTAACTCTTGAAAGCATGTGGTTATTCTTAATTGATATTATAATCAACTGCTGTCTGTTCTATTATGATTTCTTAACCTTATTAACCTAAATATTTCCTATTAATGTTTATATCTATATAATTAGGTAACTGCTGACAAATCTAAATCAATCTAAGCCTCCTAACAACATTTGAGTTGCCCCAAACTCAAGAGATGGTCTGTTTCAAGATTTGCACGATTACTTATTTTTAAAGGGTATAAGGAAAGGAGTTGAAATAATCTTTTGCATTATTACAAGTACGGTTATTCTGCCACCTAGTACTAATGACTTCAGCTCCAGATCTGGTTACTGCCCTCCTTTGCTCCCTTTCCTGAGTTCTGTGTTCCTGTCCTTGCTTCCAGAACATCGCCCAGCACCGCTTCACCGGGACCCTGTTTTCATTTTCTCCTATGGTTGTTTCAGTTTTGGTTTTTTTCCAGCCTTTCCTTTTACTCTTTCTCCACTCTCATTGTCTTATACATATGTCAAATCAGCAGCTCACTGATGTACCAAGTAATGTGCTTTTCCTGGAAGTGGATACTTTCCGAAACAATTTAACAGTTCCTATTTCAGGATGAGTTCTTAAGGGCTGTTCTGTTTCAGTCCAAACTTACCATAAGTGGCCCAGGACAGGAAATACACCACTTTGTTTATATGAGATGAAATGCGTAGATTGTCCTTGATTTGTTTGAAATGCAAATGACTATACACTTTGTCAAGAGAACCTGAGATATTCTTTGTTATTTTATTTCCCTTTTAGATGCACTGTGTTTGCCAACATCAGGGACAGCAAAGGAAGAAGCAGCTCAGGAAGAACCTGACTGCCTTGTGAAATATTTCAGTGTTGTGTGGTGTAAGGCATCAAAGAAAAAGCACAAGAAGTGGGAAGGCGATGCTGTTCTTATTACAAAAGGAAAGTCAGTAATATTGAAAGATATGGAAGGCAAAGACATTGGAAGAGGTACTGTAGATTTGCATACTTGTGTAAGTGAACAACTGGCTTAAAATTACTGTGCTTTGAATAACAGAGACCCAGCTCTTTAAATTTATTCTCCATACCAATATCAACCACAGGATGAAAAAACAGTAGGGTTTGGGGGGGTGGGGGGAGACGGCAAGAAAGCTTTATATTTCTTACATGTAAGGCAGATGTATGGGGGAGGCTGGGGCAGGCTGAATAACATTATTCACAGAAATACCAAATGCTAGTCCAAGGAGAGGATCTGGAAATGAACGGCTGTACTAATTCAGCAGAGGTGCCAAATGAGGGATGAGCAGTTGATTTTGGTTGCTCACATAATGCATTGGAGAAGGTGTTAAATTTAGGGGAAAATAAACAGGTAAGTTCCTTGTAGATAGTCGGGTCAGTAGTATGGCAACTGGGAATGTCAGAGGTTGGATCTGTGCTTTTCAGCCAGTCAAACAGCTAAAAATATTGTCTTTGTCAGAAAGACAAGCAAACAGCAACATTTTCCAGCCAAGCCAAAGTCAACTGTGTAGCAATTTTTAGTCTTGTAGTTTTAGCAGCAGCTGCTGCTGTAAGACACAGTTTGGGTTGATATCAGAGTTAAAAATAAGACTTGCAAACTATAGGCTGCAGTCAACTTGAAGCAATAATTTTTTACTGAAAGCAAAGCAAGAATTAACTTTGCTAACTGAGCCAAAGATATTTTGTAAGGGAGTAGGATTGGACAATGTTGCTACAAAACATAAGTTGATTAATTTTAGGACTGAGATGGCTTCTCTGCTCTTTTGTTACAATCATGACATTGTGAGCCTTGTTAGCACCAGGCAGTTTTGATTTGCAAATCAGTCTGTGACTTAGACGTTAATTTGAATGTATTTATAGCAAACTAATATATGTACAGGCTTGCTTGTTTTTGAAAAAGGCAGAGAGAAAGAGAGTAATGCCTGGAATGCATCAGCCACCACCCTGTTGTTTTTGTGTTTTTTTTTCAAGTCCTGTCTTCTTGAATTAGCAAAAACACAATAGAAAAATGAATATTCTGATTTTCGCTGGGAAAAGTCTTTTTTCTCTTTTTGATGGTGTCAGGGAGTACGATACCAATGTCATCGGTGCTAACTTGCCCCTTCAGAGTTGCTTTCAATGCTCTTTGATTCTAAGAAAATCATAAATTGACCAATTTAAGCAATGTAAATTTTAAATTTCTGCAATTATTTTACAAGCCTGTTGAGTGAGAAGGAAAGGTCCGGTAGTGGTGCTTACCTCCAAAATTGCATTTAATCAAATACCTGTTGACAGTTTTGTTTTTTCTTCCGGCAGATGAGTACAGATGTTAAGGAAGTAGTATTTGCTATATTGTCCTAATTACTAAATTTTTGTATTATTTTAGGTACTGGATATAAATCTAAAGAGCTAGACAGTCTTGATGAAGGCCAAACACTGATTGTTGGAGGAAAAGAAATTGAAGTGATGGGTGTAATTTCAGCAGATGACTTCAGCAGTGGCAGGTGTTTTCAGGCTGGAGTAGGGACTCATGACACAGTCCCAACTAATATGAAACCATTCTGTAAACCATTTAAAAGTGTCTGTCAATCCAATACTAAAGAGAATATGCTCAAAGATTCTCAGAGCTACAAACCTCGCCACGATCCAAGTGCTTCAAGTAAGATTCAGATTTTTAAGTTTCTTTAAGCATCCTCTGGCTCTCAAAAAAAGTTGAATGTGTAACCAAAATTTTCTTGTTCCACAATGTATTACTAAAGTATTTTTGACATACAGGACTAGTGTTTCTATCAATATCATGTTAGGATTTTATCATGTGTGTTTCTAACAAGTGAAATGCTCTGCACTGCATAAAGTTTCTCATAGTTGTTACAGATGGCTGTAGAAACAAGTTAGAGTGGTTTCTGAGAGTTTTGCCAAGAAAAATGAGCATATTGATCAAAGAAGCAGTCTGACACATGCTAAAAGTTCTAGATGAGTTCCAGCTTCCCACTGGGGTCAGTGAAGCACTGACATAATATGGCAGCACAGTAATTACAGTGGAGGATCAGTAATAGAGAGGTTAAGCCAGATTCAAAGAATTGCTTCTGACAGCACCTGATCCTTCACAGCCAGTGAGTATAACTACACTGCCCAAACTCAACCAGATACATTTTGGCATAAAAGTTTTGTTTTATAATGCTAGAAGTACCACGTGCGGAAGAGCCACGAGAGTTCACAAATTGCATAGGAACAGGCTGGTTAAGCAGTTGTATAACAGGGATTCTGTAAACATTTGATAGCTGCAGGAAGTGGCGTTACTTATCTAAACAAGAAGTACTCTTTCATCTGTCATTAACAAACCGTTTAGGAACTATATTCCGCTGATGGCTTTATCTTTCAGATGGAAGATAAAAATGAGTTTAAAAAAACGTTACTAAGAGAGCAATGCATATTTAAAAAAAATACAAATTTGTTCTACATTCTTACTATAGTTATACCTCCATCTTACTTCTTACCTCATATCCTGATACTATGGGACTTTTCAAAACTGCTACCTGGCTGCTATGTAGATAAACAATGAAATTCCAATCAAGAGGTAATTAGTGACATCACTGGCCTTTTTTGTAAGAGCAGCCTTATTAACACCAGCTTCTGGTCTGAATTCAACTTGATCATGTTGTATCTAAGAATATTCCTTCCTGTGGTTGCAAGATGATACTGCATTAACTTTCTAACCTAAAATCTGGCAAAGACTTGATATATTCAACACTCAAATTAACTTCTTTGTTGTTTTCGTACTAGTCTATCAAAAAGCTATGGTTTCTTCTAGTTCTTTATCTCCTGTGACTTTTCTGCTGGTGAATTTGAGTACCTCCTATGAGATTTCCCTAAACTGCCTGATACGGAGAGCCCTCAACACATCAGTAGATCAGACTCTCAGTCATTAGTATTGCTTACACAGGAGACTCACGTAGTTTATCTAACTATGTCTTGTTGCTTAAGCTCTTTCAGAAGTAATGGAGATACTTTCCTAGACCAGGACCTTGGGACTGGAACATTCAGAAGTGTTCATGTTGAGGTCTATGCCAACAGTCCATTAAAATGCAGCTTCTTCAAAATGGACAGCCATTTACCCTTGTGCTCAGCAGAACAGAGCACAGTGACAAAGATGTAAAGCCACATCTTCATGTATGATTTCTAAGTTTTAGTCTATTGCTCATCTAAGCCTTGTTTCTTTCCCATCTCTGAGGCTGCAAAATTTTGTCAGAAAAGTTATCTTTTTGTCACCAGTAGCTCTTATATATACAGGCATGCAGTTTGATGCAATCTATTAGAACTCAGCCCTTTGTCAGTAGGAAACAAAATCTCCCTGAATGATACAAGCCGTCAACCAACCTATTCCCATGAATAAATTATCAGTATAGATCTGCTCTGGTGACATAACAATACCAGCAGCTATAAATTGCTTTCTTATTCTGAGACAATGCAGCTTTTCAGTGAGGATGTGTAGCATCAATATAAGCAACCCAGTGTCGACAATGTCTAGCAAAATTATGATGTTAGAGTTTGTAAACAAATGATGGCAAGCAAAACTGTTATTTAGATGTAGCCAAAGGATATATCCCAATACTTCATGCTCTCTCTGCCTCTGTATGTCATCAAACCTGTCAACTTCTTTTATTCATGCACTGTGGCAGCCTTTGTCAGCTCAGTCTCAGTCCTTCCCTATTTTTTTTGTTAACAAATTGTTGTCTTTTTATCTGTTTCTCAGGCAGAGAAGTCTGTGCAGCTACAAGAATATCCCCTTGAAATGTAGCATCTAGACTTTATGTAGGTCATTGTTTATGTTCTTTTTCTTAAACTTTCCTTTAAGAAGCCTTTTAGAATATCTGCTTTAACTCTATGCATTCAAAGTCATCTGGCAACATTTATTAGGTAGGCAGTTTCACCTCATCGTAAAAAAATACTCAGATTTCTCAGTTTGTCACCTTTACCTTTGACAAAAGTGCAAACTATTTGGGAAGCCTCTGTAAAAGGAATTTTTTTATGTAGAAGGCTATCTAGATGCTCTGTCGGTCAATCTGTTTTCTGTCTGAGAATGGTCAATATATTGAACAGTATTTTTAGCAGTCATTAGATCATTTACTTTTTTCTGTAGCTGAGTTAGAGAAATAATACCCTCTGCTAACAGACTAAAAATAATGTTTTGTGCAATACTTACATATGTTTTGAACTTCAAGATTCTCTAGTTATGCCAAGACCAAATGCAAGTCATCAGTGGATGTTCAATAAGGCCAGTTTACCTATGGTGGATGTAGTTGTGGATCCTTACATTGCAAATAATCTCCGACCACATCAGAAAGAAGGAATTATATTTCTATATGAATGTGTAATGGGAATGAGGTAAGACTGTAATTATCCTTTTGGCTTTCAATACTTTCAAAATAGTAATATTTTCATGCCTACATTCAAAATTAGACAATTTGAATGGGAAGATTTGAGCATTTTGTCAATTAATTAATATTAGTAATTTTCCCCTAGTAAAGGTTGCACAAGTTTTTTCTGACTTGTATGTAGCATCATGCTTGCTGTGACTTTGCCAGATGTGATGAGAAGCTAGTGCACCAAAAGGCCTGTCAGTTCTACTGCAAATACCAAGTCTTGTAAACATGGATACAGTCTAAGCCATGCTAAAGCACACTACTTTCTGGGATTTATAATTCATATAATTCATAATTATTCATATAAGTTATAATTCAGGCATTTAGAATAAAGAAGCTGTTATACCAACCTGTTGAAAAAATACAGTAGTTTTCAGAAGTGTTTTCTCAAGTCATAGATTCCTTAAGGTATATACAAGTTTTAAAAATATTAGATAATATTTTTAATTCTAAAAGAAGATTTAAACTATTTGGTTTTGGAGGACTAATGCATTAATCTAGAAAATGAGGCATTTCACTCTAAGGTCTTCTGGTATAACTGAATGAAAACCTACAGTAGAGCATAATAAGTATAAATGGGCTCTTTGTACTTCAGAAAACAACCACAAGAAGCAATTTCCTAAACTAGTGTAAATAATTATAGATATGTCTTTTAAAATATTACCACGGCCTAATTATATCTTACAGAGTTAGTGGAAGATTTGGAGCTATTCTTGCCGATGAAATGGGCTTGGGAAAAACATTGCAATGCATTGCACTTGTCTGGACTCTTCTGCGTCAAGGGGTCTATGGATGCAAACCTGTACTAAAACGAGCACTAATTGTCACCCCTGGGAGTCTGGTAAAAAACTGGAAAAAAGAATTTCAGAAATGGTTGGGAAGTGAAAGGATCAAAGTCTTTACAGTTGATCAGGTAATATTTCTTTCCCAAAGGGGATTAGGTCATATTTGGCTCAGAATGTAGGACTTGAGATTTTTTTTTTCCTCTTCTTTTTTTTTTTAACCAGACACCAAAACTAGTCATTCTCTATTAATATTTTTTTGGTAATACTTTCTCCTTCAGGTAATTGTCCATATGGGCATTTAGCTGTCAGTAACCAGGTGATAACTCAAGCTCGCCTGCCTGTGTAGCATATGTCTGTCTTATCTTTCCTCAGGCTTCACCTTTGAAGATGTAAAAGGTGACATGGTCCTCCGTGTGCCTCTTCAGTTTAAGGAAGAGCTTTCTGTTGTCTATTGAAGTGCACACCTTCCCTCCTTTATGTACCAGAGCATCTACCTTGACTGACTGGTACTCCGTTTCTGTGGTAGTTGCTTTTGTTCTGTACTGAAAACTTTTTCCTCTTTGTTTTGTCTGTTTGTTTCCAGTTACTTCAGAAGGTTATTCCCTTTATTGTCACTGTCAAGAATTAGATTTATATAGGGACGGTTTAAAAACTCGTGAGTTACCAGACCTAGAGGCTCAGTGTTAGATAATGTGAATATCTATCATCTCTAGAAGAAAGCAGACAAGTACAAATCTTATTAAAGAAGACGATGGTGCTGATCCCTGTCCCTCCTATAGTGGAGCTGTTCCCACTGGTAATGACATTCCCAAATTCCTGTAGGGCCTGGATGAATCCCATGTGCTGACAAAGTATTTCTTCTCTTAATCTCCTTGGTATACCTTTAGGTTTTTGCCTTTGGTTTAGAAAGGCAAAACTTTCTCTGTCCTTTACTGCAAAGACTAAAAGTTCTAGTGTAGTCTCTATGCTTCAGTGATCTTTATTGACCACGTCAGACAGGAAAGCACCTGGCAAAGTAAAAGATGGGGAGTTCAAGGAGTGAGGCTGTAGGATCACTGACCGAAAGCTTTCTCTGAAGGAAAGCCACATCTTGCTCTGGTTATCCAGTAAGGCTTTCTTGCCATGTATATTTTCCTGTTAAGCATGTCTCAGTATCTGTCAGAGGATTGGGTTCCATCAGGACCAGCATTCCTGAAGCTATGAACAGGAGACTGGCTCATGCCTTCATTAACACTTCTGAAGCTTTCAAATTTAAGCTCTGCTTTTTATAATTAACCATCCAGAATTTCTTTTCCTAAGACTTCTGGTCCTCATGTCCATATGGAGTGGGCATTCACAGCAGAAAGGAAAGAGAAGTTGTTTAGCAAACTGTTGTTTCTATATGTACATTCAGCAATCTGCTGTACCCCTACTTTTTCCTTGCTCCTATATATTTGAATTGTGCCAGTGGGAGGAAGAAGGGAACTTACAGTATCTGCATTGGTGCTTGCAACAAAGATGAAGATATTTATTTTCCAAAGTTATTTTTTAATCTAATAGTTCCGTACAAGTAGATTGAAGAAACAAATAGTACTTCATTCTAAAGATGACCTGATTCTTACATCAACCAGATTTGCTTTTAGTTTCTTGCATTATCCTTATTGTATCTATGGAAGAGTGAATATTTCAGATGAAATGGAAGTTTTCAAACTTTTTAAACTCTTTTGTAGAGTGTACAAAATTTTGTAACAATTGTTTCTTTGAATTCCACTCATTATTGTCAAACCCTTGAAATTACTGAACCTACTCATCTTCCATTGAGGACAATCCACATGCAATAGGTGCTCTTTGCATCGTTTCCTTTTCTTAGTTACTTGTTTCAAGATGTGGAAATGAAGCAAACTGACTTGTCAGGAACTGTAAAGTAATATAGGTTAGGATGAGAAATATGGAAGTTTCTAAAAGAAGTGGATATAATATGGCAACATTTTTACCTGAAAAGGTAGTTAGAAATAACTGAACGTTTTCTTGCAGTTTTTATGAATAATGTTGGGAGGAGAAAACCTGAATTTGCTGACAGTTACTATGACCTAAAATGACAGTAGCTTTCATTTTCTTTTAATTTAAATAACTAATATTCTTACTCATCTTGTTGGAGCCATTTGGATTGAGGACACTCAGCAGCTTTTAAGATTGTGTTCCCAAATAGCAAGGAATACATTGTCATGCAAAAGGAAGACACAATATGACTTGCCTGGGGTATAATGAGGTATTTCAAAATAATTTACTGTCTATCTTCTCTGGAAAAACAGCAATTACCATACTGTTATTTCTCCAGTAAAAATTAAAAGGAAGAGCTTGTCTCAAAGGTTTTTTCTGTTCTTGCCTATAAGGAATACATTCAAAGAACTGGCAGACTTTTTAAAATGTGGTAGGCATGTTTTCCTCACTTTCACACTGAAACACTGCGAACTGATCCTAACCCTTCAGTAACAGACTCTTCAAAAAACCAGGGCATTATCTCTTTTAAAATGAGATTACAGTTTACTTCTGTTAAAATGCAAATGTCATGTAGAGGACATTGCTTTTAAAATGAAGGTGTCCCCACAAAGGTTGCATTTAGGTCTCGTTAATCCATGTTATCAGCATTTGAGACATGTTTGAGAGAATAGCTCTTTTATCTGTTTGCAGAGTATCACTTCTACTAGGGTCGTTTTGGTTTGGTTTTTAAGTCAAAATATCTGGACAATTAATTAATTCAAGGTTTATATTGCTTCATGATCATAATTTTTTGATTTACACTTCACCGGCTATATTGGATTTGGAGTAGTGCAAAGAAGGGTCTGTTCAAAGAGTAAGTCTGGGACATTATGGAGCTCTAATACTGATTGACAATTTCTCCATATGTAGCTCTGGGCAACTTGCTTAAACCTGTCAAGTCACTTCGGGTAATTGTGAAAATGGAGGCTGTAATACATACATATCTTGCAGCCAGTTAAGAGGCTAAATTAATTACTTGAAATTAGCTTGTAAATTTATTTTACTTCTTAGTCCATCATCCACTGCTGTTATTATATACAGCAAAGAGTATGTTATATTTGGCTGCAGGGGGCTTATAATACGTCAGGACTCTCCTGCTTTTTTTAAGGGGTCCAGAAGAGTTGATGATTTACCAGGGGAGGGATGTTGGAGGCAGTTCCCCAGTGCCCCCACCACTTTCCCTGTAGTTTCAGCTCACACCCAGAAAGTGTAGGAAGGCACAATGATTTCTGAACCCTGGGCATCTTCTGGTGCTTGACTATTCCAAGAGAAGGTCAGAGAGGCGTTGCATCTGTCTTCAGGGCTGCAATGTGGAGCCTGAATACTGGGCAGGGATGACATTGGGTGTTGCATACAGGGTCCCTCTGTGTCTCTCTTCCTGTGTTGGGAAATTTTCTGCTCCTATTTTGAAACTGGAGGTAAAAATACTGGCCAGAAAACTGGCAGTTAACTACAGTCCTGGAAACAACAGGAATGCTTGGGTCCCATCCAAACAACTGGGAAAATTGGTGCATGCCCTTGTTACCTGCTCCTCACTGCTCCTTGCTTCTTCCCATGCGTGCTGGGCCTCTGTGAGCAGCATGTGGGGACTGATGACAAGGTACTTTGTGAGATTAATGTGCCAGATTCAGCCCATAGATTCATCTGAATCACCTGCTAGGAGGCTCTAAACGTTGTGGTAATTAAGTGGTGCTGCTTTTACAGTGTATTGCACCATCTGGCTCCAGACTTAGTTGTCTGTGTTTGGTAACTGATCTTGTTTGGAAATAAAAATACCTTCTGAGGCTCTAGCTTGATTTGCTTTCACAATTAAAGAGGTTCTTGAGCTTGTCAGCTGGGCCCATAGCCTGCTTAGTTAGTGAACACCATTAGGAAATAGGAAGGAGCGTGCAGGGAATTAGTGTCTGGAGCTAAGCAGACAGGGACATGCCCACAGTAGATTTTTCCATTTTTATGCATAATTGCAAGACAAGTAAGCAATCCTAGTACATTCACAAGTCTGTACAGATATGTAACTATTTCTAGGAAACTTTCTTTGCGTTACAGTGACTTTTTAATTTGGTGTGTCTCTTTTTAAAGCTGGTTTTGTCTCTAAGGTGCAAGTCTAATTGTGCAAGTCTTATTCTGTTCAGACTCGAGTGCTATCATATGGGCAGCTCTTGTTGGTTTTCCTTATTGTTACATTTGGTAATAAACAAGTAGACTTAGTTCTGGTTATTTATTTAGGAGTTCAACGAAAGTCTTGATGTCTATTGAAAGAAAAGGGTTTGAAGGGTATATAGGGTGAAGGGGCTCATGGCCATTTTCTGACTACTAATACGGGATTTAGAAATCAATTGCATTTATTTACCAATACACAGGCATGTTTTTTGGAGATAGTTTGGGGCTCTATTTTCTGAGTCCCAGGCTGCCCTTACCTGTTGGCCAACCCATCAATGTTAAGGGCTTGTAACAAAGTTAATACCATATTCAATTCAAAACTACAGGAGGAATTTTAGGTTGGTGGAATGTGGTAACTTTCTACTGGATCACATTACTGCGCTCTGCAGCTTGAGATCCCAAAGTGAATGTACAGGCAGCTACTTATGCCTCTTTGTTATCTTGGCTTTAATTATTCATTTGAAGCTTACCTAAATGCCAGGACTGGAAAGCTGTTACAGGGAGACTGTGCTTTTCACCTTCATGGTAATGTGTCTCAAAGGATTTGAAAGCCTAAAAGAATAATAAATTTTCTTTTAATGAGGTGGTAAAACTTGCAATTGCTGTATCAGATCCCATATTTCCTTTGCAAATTAGGAAAGAATCAATAATCCAAACGCATGGAGGAGATAGTAAATGTCTTGTGTCATGCTAGAAAAATTTCTGTAGACACTGGACATTTAAGGAATATGATGAGTGATCTCAAAAGAAATAATTGTATGATATATTTTCCTTTATACCTGCAGGACCACAAAGTAGAAGAATTCATTGGTTCCCCACTTTATTCAGTATTGATAATCAGTTATGAGATGCTACTGCGATCTTTGGATCAAATTCAGGCTATAGAATTTAACCTCCTAATCTGTGATGAAGGACATCGTCTGAAAAATAGCTCTATTAAGACAACTACAGCCCTCACTAGTCTGTCTTGTGAGAGGAGAATTATCCTTACTGGTTAGTATTTATAGCTACTTCTGATATTTAGCTATGCTAATAGTATTAGGTTGGGGTAAAGAAAAAAGCTATTCTAAGTATGGCAGGAGCACAGTATAAATTTTGGCAATGGGTATTAACTGCACAAATTTGGGGTCTTGTAAAAACAGATTATTTCCAATTTTTTTTTTAAATAAATGCAAAATTTGACTAACTTCAGGGACAGGGAAGGAGCATGGGAACTTCTGTAAGGGAATCGGGACTCTGTTTACATATACTCATTGTTTTCCTTTGTAGTTATTTAATAAAATTGATTTAGAACTTGGCTTTTTCAATTCCTTTGTCAAAACTACTAGATGTGCAGTCTGTTTAGTTAGGGGGGCAGTAGTTTATTAATCATGATAAAGTTCCAGATTAATTCAGTACTGTGAGTAATTTTCATTGAAACAAAACATCTGTTTTCAGGCTGCATTCTCAGCATTAAACCCTGCATTCAATGATTGTACTTATATAATTTTCAAGAAAAAGTTACCAAATGCAGGATTTTTTTTTTTTCTTTCCAGGAACTCCAATCCAAAATGACTTGCAAGAATTTTATGCATTAATAGAGTTTGTGAATCCAGGAATACTTGGTTCTTTATCCACGTATAGAAAAATATATGAGGAACCGATTGTCAGGTCTAGAGAACCTTCAGCAACAAAGGTATGTTATTAAAAAATATGCACTTATAGAAGAAAATTCATAGACAGCACTGTGAAATTTGCTTTCTATGGAATAAAATAAAGATCAGGACTAATAGTAATAAAGCTTTTCACCTTCCTATTTGAAACAAAATCAGTTGTTCTCCAAAGGAAGCTGGAGGAATACATGCATGTTGAGATCATGGCATTTCAGCTGCTTATTAATTATCAGGCAAAAATTGTTCTTCCAACACCTTGCATTCCCAAAAATGCCATGCCAATTACCATATGACGATACTTTATTCATTCTTAGTTTCTCCACAGTACTGGAAAATCTGCATGATTTTATTGCATCAATCAAGAAATTCTAGAATATAATTCAAGCCTGGGGTATCTTCTGGGATGTTATCTTCTTTTGTATAAAACTTTAGAAACCAGACCTAGAACTAAGCTAATGCAGTGGTACTAATTGGAGAAGAATTGATCATTACAGTCCCATGTCAGAAATGGTATCATACATCTAAAATATTAACTACCTAATTAAAATCATACAGAAAACTATTGTGATGAAATGCAAGATTATCATTAATTTTGTGCTTTGTTCTTGTAGGAGGAAAAGGAACTTGGAGAAAAAAGAGCAGCAGAACTCACACGCCTAACTGCACTCTTTATTCTTAGGAGAACACAGGAGGTTATAAACAAATTTCTGCCTCCCAAAAAGGAGAGCATAATCTTCTGTCGACCAACAGCACTGCAACTCGAATTGTATCGAAAACTGCTTAGTTCTCGAGTTATTAGGTCCTGTCTACAAGGCAGGCTAGAAAACAGTCTTCACCTAATATGTATAGGAGCTTTGAAAAAACTTTGCAATCATCCATGTCTTCTGTTTAAAGCTATGAAGGTATCTATCCACATGAGGGTGGGTGCCTGCAATTAGTCATTTCAGCAGGCAAAGGTCACTAAAACTATGTTCTGGTCAATGTGCACGTTACTTAAGGTTATTTCCATACTCTCTTCTCACATACAACTTGCTTTAGGAGATCTGCTTTCAAAAACATAAATGTTAGGAAATCTGAATGTACTCAGGGAAGGTATCTCACCAGTTTCCTATTGCCTTATGGTCTTTTCTTGTTCCTCATGTATTTTCCTTCTTAATCTTGTCTCTGAATATTTGTAAAAATACATACAAATGTGAATTTTACAAAGAACAATGTTAGCTAGAGATTATTCTGTGTATTCTGTCTGCTGGTTCCTCTGAAACCTCCCTGTCCAGATGATAATTTCACTCTCAAGCTCAGTGACACTGGGAACTGCAGGCTCAACATGTCTCCATTTCCACTTCTTCTGGGATCCTATCACACTGTACACCTCGTTATTTCTATAGAAATGTTCTTATTCCTATAGGTAAATAATATGATAGTTAGAACTTGGTAATACTAACTTCTGTGGCCACTAGTCAAAGTCCAAGTAAGGTGAGTAGAAATGTAGATCTTTCTTAAAAGATGTTCCTCTTGACTTGTGGGAATGTCCACAGCACAGACCTCCCTGTAACTTTCAATACTGCTAAGTAAAATTCATTGCCCTTCCTTCATAGTATAAGCATTAGAAATTTGTACATGAAAGTGTAACCCTTTAGAAACTATAGGGATGGAAAGGACTATATGTGCAAGTCATTTATTACTGTTGTGGTTTTGGCGTTTGAGTAGTTTGGCTTTTTCCTCCCTGTGAAATATTGATTTTCAAATTACAGCAAAATATTACCTGTATTTCTTCTATTTCATTGTTTTTACTTGTTAGCTTTTCTTCATTTCCAGTTGCATAACTGAATCTTAATAACAGCATCTTCCTAAAAAAGTCAGTGACTGGGAAATTCCGTAATAAGGTATTACGGAATTTGAAAAGAATAAACAGGGTATTGATTTTTTTCCCCAAGGTTTAGATATGGCTTTGCTGTGGGTGTACCCCTGTGTGGTTGTTTAAGTAGAAAAATAGAAGTAAACAACATTTTTCAGTTTTAAGTATTTCAACTTTCTCCTCAGCGACAGACAACATCTTAGATTAGAGGCTGTAAACCAAAATAAATGCTATCAGTATTTTAAAACTGTGTCGTGCTCACATGATACACTACTTTGTGGCAGCTTTTGATGACTCCTTTTGTCTTTGTAAGAATATAGCAACCTTTAAAAAAACCCCAGAACGTGTTAGAGGGGATATGGAGCTTGAATCCTTTTATTTGCAATAGGAAAAAAGCTGTGATCCTATGTCTGATGAACATGATGAGTCCAGTCTCTACGAAGGTCTAATAGATGTCTTTCCAGAAGATTATACTTCAGAAACTTTCTCTGAAACGGATTCAGGAAAATTGCAGGTGCTGGTGAAGTTGTTAGCAGCAATCCATGAGCTCAACTCTTCTGAAAGGCAAGTGTGAAAGAAAGGTAAAAGGGAGATAATGGGATATTGCTTTGCTTTTCAAATGCGTGGGGACATAATATTCAAAATAAAGGCATTGCAACTGTTTGCAGTGGTATCAAGCATATTTATGCATTGTACTCCAGGCTCTTCCTTGTTAAATTACTAAACTAGGATTTGCAGCTGACATAATTTTCAAAGTTGCTCTTCATATTTTTTCCAGCTAAAAATCCTTGTATTTTTCATACTGAGTTCCAGCAACTAAGTTAGCTACAGCCCCCATACTATGACATATTATCTTTACTTGCAAAGCCTTTCCAATACTTTGTATCTCCTTGAGGAGATGTATTCCTGTATTAAATATTATAAATTGCACTAAAATGTTTTTAATTACTGGATTATAAATTCTTTCCTCGTTAATCATGTTTAACTGCTTAGTGCTTGGTGCCTTTTCTGCTCAGGGCAACCAGACTCAACAGGTCAACCTGCACAACAACTGCTTATTTCCCCCATGATAAATGCCACTGACATGTAGGAAAACCTCTGTTTATCATGGGGTAGTAGGATGCACATGGTTAGTTACTGTGGAATTGCTGATTCATGGAAATCTCACATGACCTTTTATCCCATGATAACTGTTTTAGGTACTCATGCCTTAAAGCCCAGCTATTCCAAAAGTATTTAGCTTTTAATTTTTATTTAAATTGATGATTAAATAGAATATGCTGTAATTCAGTAGCAGGAAGTAACAGCAGATCTCTTGGCACTGATGTAATGGAATTTGTTTGTTCCTGATGCTCTCTCTTTACAAATCAGAAAGCTGAGCCTATCGTTGGAATTTATATGGCTAACATCCATTGAAACCAGTGACAGCTAAATATCTAAATGTACTGGCTTTATTTCTTGCAGGTCGAAAGAAACAGGGGTATGAGGAAAAAACACCTTTCCCTGTATCAGTGCTATAGGAGTGTGGTGGTTTGACTCTACTGAGTTACAGCTGGTGTTGTTATTTTACACCTTTAAAAGTTTTGTTGCTTTAATTCAGTACTGACTGTGTTTCTTTTTCTTTTGTTTCTCTGCTCATGTTAGTACTAAATAGTTTTTGCTATATACAGACTTAATTCCAGTCCTCTTAGAAAGCTTATATTCTATTTTTGAGTAAAAACAAAGGTGTGAATTTGGGGTTGATTGACAAAAAAATCAATCTTGCAAAGTCTTTACAAACAAGTCTCGGATGTAGTTTGATTGTAGAGTCAACTGTAAGAATAAAAATACTTTAAAACAATTTAAAAATATTAAATTACAAGATTTTCCCTGAAATTATTTGTCTAGTTCTTCAGTACTTGTCTTTAATAAAAAATCATTTTTAAAAATGGAGCACCTTTGATGGAATTTTGTACATTTAGTTTAGATTATAATAGACCTTCAAACACGATCTAGCAGAAAATGCCCTAACCATGCTTTTTATTTATGGCTTAAATTCAAAAGAGCTTTCTTTGTCCCCTCAGTAGAATACTCCTCAACATCTGGGAGGATAGAAGTTCCAGATTTGCAGAACTCTGAAACTTGTTTAGTCAAAATTTCAGAGAAAAACCACTGACACAGTATGGGTCATTAGTGTAAGGGATCAGGAGGCTGATTTTGCTTTAAAAAAGTAAAACCAACAATAATCCAGACTATATTGTTTGTGATAACTTTCACCATCCTTCATCCCAGTTCTTTTCAATCATAAAATGTAGGAAAGAGTCATTGCTTTCCTATTTGATTTTCATGATTTTGTTTATTAGAATTTTCTGAGGTTGTCTATAAAGTTCACAGTAGCTTTTTCAGTAAGTAGAGTCATATACATATTATTTATTAGCTGCTACAACACCCTCTGCAAATGATGCCTTAAGAACAGCTATTTTGTATAAATAGTTTTTTTTTTTTTAAAATCTATTTCTGTTGTTGTTTCTGGATCCCTGCATTAAGCCAAATTCTTTTGCAAAGGAAAACATTCATTATTTAACATTTCAATGCTTGACAGTAATGCATCCATATCCAGTATGTACTTCAAATTAATAGGAAATACTTTATTTCTCAGGAAATATGAGTAGCCTCAGCTTCATGTGTAATTTTTGCTTGACTTGTGATTTTATTTTCTTATATGTCTTCAGTAATTTGTTATTGGACTTCAACTTTACCGAGGTCTGGGATGATAAGATAACTTTGTTTTACTGTTTGACAGGGTCGTACTGGTATCCAATTATACTCAGACATTAAACATATTGCAAGAGACATGCAAACGTTATGGATACTCTTATACTAGACTTGACGGACATACTCCTGTCTCCCAGAGACAACAGATTGTTGATACTTTTAATAGCAAATTCAGTCCAGCTTTTATCTTTTTGCTGAGTTCAAAGGCTGGCGGAGTAGGACTGAATTTGGTCGGAGCATCTCATTTGATCCTGTATGATATCGACTGGAATCCAGCTACAGATATTCAGGTCTGACAACAACTGTGTACATGGGGGTTGGGATGGGCATCAGATGATTCCTTGATTGATTTTGAAATGCCTGGCTTTACATGTCTTACTGCTACCCAATTATCACATCGCATCTAAACAAGTACGATACTGGAGGAAAACTCTGAGAAGAAAAGAAAAAATATTTCTCTGCCATATTATATATATTGGGATCAGTAGAAGCCCCCTTGCAGTAAAAACCAAAAAGATTAAATTCTGGTTTCTTTGGAGGAGTGAGTTATGTATCCCCTTTGTCTCCTGGCTTCTTTTTAACTGGAATGTTGCTGTGTTTCTAAAAAGGAAACAAAAACATGATTAGACTGCATAGCAAATGTTGCTGTTGATTTGCAATACCTGAGAAAAAGGGAGAAGTTCTGATCAGAATTAAGAGAATGAGAAAATCACATGGCAATGATGCCAAAAGAAAGAAAATAAAGTCAGTGCTGTGCTATTCTTGTAGTGCCACTGTTGGACTCAAGGGATTATTTAGTTGGCATAAGAGCGTTTGGTTAAAATAGTCCTTAACAATAACAATTCTAAAAAATCTTTTTATAAACACAGTAAGAAACTTCTTATTGTAGAGTAATGCTGTGTGCTTAATACCTGAAATAAGCTCTGATTCTTGGCCCTGCTCCTGTTCTAAAGTGTGAATTAGTACCCTCATGTGGTCACTTGTCTTGTTGCTTGAAACACAGTCTGCTAAATCAGTCAAAATTGCTACAGGTTGCCAAAGACAGCAAACCATGTTGTGGGTACTTGCACCTAGAATGTAGGTATAACCCTTACATTTTTTAAAAAAATCGTATAGCAGTACTCAGTTACATTTTGCTTTTTAAGAATTACAGGGGGTGTGAAACACTAATTTTACAACTTTAAAAGAAATGGAAAGGTCATTTTTAAACATGTATTGTGGCAAAAAACTATTTTGGAGTTGGGGAGAATGATGAGTATTCCTGAAATATTAAACAGTTGCTAATGCTTGGGAAACAAATATGAAGAGGGGATTTCTGGCAGGAAGGAGGTGAACCCCGTACTTTCCTACTATGGTACACAGAAAGAAAGGGGACCATAAGTGGCAGAAAGTAAATTATATTTTCAAATTTATTTACAGTTAATACCAGAAGATTTTTATAAAAACAGTCAAAGATACTTCTTGAGGAATGCTTTCTTTGGACAACATCTTTTTGAATGAGCTAGCAGAACTGGTACTTTGATCAGTGGAGGCTACAAGTTTTAGTTGAAATACCATTGTATCGTAGGCTGTTAATGCTCTTCATCTTTTTGCTTTCTTCAGGCAATGGCTAGAGTGTGGAGAGATGGTCAGAAACACACTGTATATATCTACAGACTGCTAACCACAGGTCAGAGATGGTGCTCAAACATACCCTAGAGTGAGACAGCTATTGAAATTTCATCTGTAAAAGAAAGGGAGGGAGTGTTTTTGGAAATCATTCATTCTTCAAAAATATATATTATTTGTTCTGAATTCAGTTGAAATAGAGACATCACATTGATTCATTTGCCTTTGCTTGCTTTTGCTTGAACAACTGAAAATAGTGGTTTGGCATTTCCTATGAATATTGTTGTCAAGAAATGGATTTGACTTTTCTTCTTGACAAGTACTGGTCAAAAATTATTCCAGTATATCTATTTTTTTTTTTTCAATACAGGCTCAATAGAAGAAAAGATTTATCAAAGACAGATCAGCAAACAAGACCTTTCTGGTGCAGTTGTAGACCTTTCCAAGACATCTGAACACATCCATTTTTCCATTGAGGAGCTTAGAAATCTCTTTACACTTCATGAAGATTCCAGCTGTGTTACCCATGACTTGCTTGAGTGCGACTGTATGGGAAAGAAAGACCATCAAAGTGAGTTTCTTTTTCATTACTTCTGGCTGTGGCTGAGGAAGTATATCCATTCTGAATATATGGTCTGTCACTGGAGAAAGCTCTGATGCTCAGTAAAATAGGATTGAAGTAATGAGGTTCATTATGGGATCTTCCAGATATTGGCTGATTTTTCTAATCCATTGGAGCCCTTCACAAGATGAAGAGGAGGAAGGACTCATTCCTTGCAGTAACAACCAATTCGTGTATCATGCCTCTTAATTCCTTGAAATAGCTATGGCCAGCTCAACTAGTGATTCGTTACAACCAAATGACATTATATGGTGGGTTTTTTCTACATATTCAAGGACAGTAATGAGTAGCTGGTAAGGGTTAGTTCAAAAGCTGTTTATCTGAGGACAGGTATACTAGCCAGTACCAGATGAAGATCTCGATAATGATACAACAAATCTCTGAATATAACCCTTCATTTCACAGTTATTAGCTATAGCTGATGCAGGATGTTTAAAATAGGTTTTTGAGAAATGCTGGAAGATCCCCTGGCAGTTGTAAACCCAAGTTGCAAATATTTGTATCTAACCTTTCTGCAGGAACCTTCTTTCTTGTTATTTTGGCATATCAAAATTGTTTTAATACCTTGCTGCATACAGGTTATATAGGTTTAAGTTAGGAGCAGGATTACAAAAAAATAATAAAAAATTATCGTAAGTTATGTTTACATCCCATCCATTTTAATTTTTGTAGCTCATTGTGCTGGTTTTGGCTGGGATAGAGTTAATTTTATTTATAGTAGCTAGTATGGGGCTATGTTTTGGATTTGTGCTGAAAACAGTGTTGATAACACAGGGATGTTTTCATTACTGCTGAGCAGTGCTTACACAGTCAAGGCCATTTCTGCTTCTCACACCACCCCACCAGCGAGTGGGCTGGGGGTGCACGAGAAGTTGGGAGGGGACACAGCTGGGACAGCTGACCCCAACTAACCAAAAGGATGTCCCACACCATATGATGTCATGCTCAGCATATAAAGCTGGGGGAAGAAGGAGGAAGAGGTGGGATGTTTGGAGTTATTGCATTTTATCTTCCCAAGTAACTGTGTGATGGAGCCCTGCTTTCCTGGAGATGGCTGAACACCTGCCTTCTGATGAGAAGCAGAGAATGAATTCCTTGTTGTGCTTTGCTTGCATGCGGGGCTTTTGCTTTAGCTATTAAACTGTCTTTACCTCAACCCATGAGTTTTCTCACTTTTACCTTCTAAATGCATACAGATACCACAATAAAAATAGCCAAAGAAATGGCTACAAGAGTGCATGTTCTCAACAGACACGAGCAAGAAATTAAGTAATACAGGCCCAATGAGACTATTTTGCTTGATGATTTGCATGTCTCCAGGTAGTAAGCTAGAGTTGTGTTCCTTTCTCATCTCATTCTACCCAAAATGGGGAGGACTTGGTTAGTGAAAGCACAGTGCTTCTGTAGCGATAAGAATTTGACTTTCTCCTTTATTTTTGCTCCATATATTGATTTCATTGTTTTTGTATATTTCTTTAATGATTGAAAAACTAGACCTTCTGTTTTTCCACAAGTGAGTGACGCTCTAAAATATACCAGCCTCCACTTAAGCACTATTACAGGATCTGTGTGGAAAAGGCACCTTGAGTGTTAAATGTTAGCCAGATTTTCTCACTGGTGTGCAGTGAGGCAGACAGAGCTCCTGGACTGCAGAAATCCAGAGAAATTTTATAATATTACTGTGATGAACACTGGTGCATGTAATTTTATTTAGCATTTTGCAATTGTCTTAACACTCTTGACTGCTTATCTTATGCTTTGAACACATATTGATTCCATCAGTTCAACCACAGCATTGGTCTCTTGGATCTCAGGGCAGTGATGTAAGCAGGACTTCCTCAAGGGTAATTATATCTTGATCTCAGTGAACAGAACCTTTTTGGCAGTAAATCAAGGAAAAAATGGAAGGTCATTCTTAGACTGAAGAGGTAGAAATGATAGAGTGAGGGTAAGGTTTGATTTCCTAAAAAGCAGAGGACAAACTGGCTTATCAATTCCCTAGTCAAACTGTTGTGAGTCATGGTCTTCAGTCTGATCACCCCAAAGTGCACCTACCACTAGTTGGTCTCTTTGCCTTTCCTAAGAACAAAAAGCTGTCAAATTACTTCATCAGGGAACCAGATTCCAGGTTACTGGGGATAGATGCTACCACACAGAAAAGACCAAGAACTTTTACTGATTTGTCTTCTCTATCTCTAGCAAGTATGATTCAAAAGATGAACTAGAGAGGAGCCAAACAATATAATACAGACTTCACCATGTATAAGCTTTTCGTAATGACTTTCAGTAGATATACCAATGAGACTGGATATTATTGACCAAGCTCCTGTTGTCCATTCATACTGGGCCATCTTTAGGAAACCATAGGAGTCTTGAAGCAATTAACTGTGTATGGATCATGCAGATGGGTTGCTTGCTATTCTACTGGCTTGCAGATCAGCTATAAAGCTGTAAGCCTATTGTTTTACCTGATCATAGTTTAATTTCTGGAGTTAGGAACGCAGAATCTGTAAGGACTTGAGAAGTGCCTCTCTTCTAAGTTTCCTTCTGGCCAGTAAAGTCTGCTTCAAATCTAGTGCAAATGTGCATCATGTGTCAGTCAAAATGAAAGTCTTGCATATATGAGTCTTTATGGGCTCTCCAAAAGTTTAAAAAACTCAGGAATACTCTGAGTCATCATGCTGCTCGTATCACTGGTCTTTCCTAAGGAGCACGTAACACCGTTATGAAAATATTTGACAGCAGGTTTTAAACCAATAACAGCAGTTACTGGTTAAAGTCAGCAAACTGATTTCTTCATTTGTCGTATGCATTAAATGAATCATGAAGCCAGCAACGTGTGACATACCCTGCAATGACCTGGTACTGTTTGCAGCTTTAGAATCCTTTGTCCAAAGTGAATTCCTGTCTTTGTGCTTCACAGGGAATAGTGTATTCCTTACTGTGATATACAGTATACAATATTGTGTATACTGAAAAACTTGCCATAATCTGGATGTACAGAGTGCACTAGAGATCCAGCTCTAGTGTGCTGAATCAATGGAATAGCTACTCAAACTCTTCTTAGCTGATTGGAATGACTCCTCTGGGAGGAAATAGAAGCTAGCATGAATTTTGCTGCAACATACTTCTAGATTCAGATTTACTTAAAGAATGGGAGCAGCCCAAATGTCACAGAATTAAGAAGAAGAAAAGAAATTGTCAGGTAAGATATTTCCTTTCCCATCCATTTGTAAAAGGATTTGTCTTTATGCTACAATATGGTGATTTTGATAAATTCAGTCCATGAGCAAGAAACAGCCTTTCCCCTCTTAGTGTGAATACATATGTTTGGTTTTCATTGACATAGAAGGATTATATATGCTGTTCTATTTTCTCTCATTTGTTTTCACCAACTGGCTTATTGATTCAGACTGAAATTTTCTGTGTTAGTTTTCTCTGATTAGTCTACTGCATCATTTTTTTCAGATCCTTCTTCAGAAAAACCTTCTTTGTCTAGAAGTTGCCAGCTTGGAGAAAACCATGGAAAGCCTAATTCAAAAAAACCACTCTCCATGTCACAGTTGATGCAATGGAAACATTTCTCTGGGCAACATCAGACTCTAGCTGATCCTTTCCTTGAAAGGATAAAAGAGAATGTTTCTTTTATTTTCCAGAATGTAACCAGTCCAACTTCCCCCACCTAATAAAACTTAAGTGTCTTTCTCTACCGCTTGCATCCTCCTCCTCATAACTATAGCAAACAACTGATGTGCAATTACCTTTTGTTCTTTTTGCCAAGTTTTATTTTGTGTATTTCTGATGAGGTTTCTGGGTAAATGTGATTCCTGGTGTTTATACAAAGTTACAGTTATTACTAGGTTAATCATACTTACTATAATTATAATACATATTTTTAAAACTAACTTTTGCTTTCCAGTCTTATGTTCCTTTGATATTATAATTAGTAAGATTGCTTTTATGCACATTCCTATGTATGTCTACTTTGTTTTATAGTTTTCATTTGATCATAATGATTTATTGCTTGTAAAGCTGGCAACTCTTCAGCCAAATTTTATAAGATTAGGCAATTCTGTATACATGTATATGCTGTTAACAAGAGTCTGGTTGGATTTTTGTTTTGACAGTAAAAGTTATGTATCTGTGTAACTGCAGCTTTATAACAAGGCAGGTGTTTGTTCCCTTGAATTTACAATTTAATGAAACTTGAAGCAATAGCCACTGAAGTCCAAAATTCTGAGATCACAGGTTGATACTGTGTCAAAATATTCTGAAATTCAACTATTGCTTTTACCTGAGAAAATAAACAAGCTTCGTTTCTCAGACATACGGAGTACAGGCTTATCTTATTTCTAGCTAACTACATTTAAGGACACTTTTTGCCAAACACCGGAGTACTGCACACATTTCACTCTATATTTTTGTTATGACTGTATTTTCCTCCCTCTCTGAAGGTGCAAAAGTTTGAAGTCAGTTTACAGCTTTTAAATTAAGTACTTTGAAAGGCCCAGGAAAACAGAATATTGACTAATTTTCAGAAATACAGCAAACTTACAGAATTTATAAGACCTTGAGCAAGAAGAGGGCTCCATTGTGATAATTCTGCATTGTGCCACTCGATATTTGCTACATGTGGTGATAGCGGTTGCTAAAAGCCCAACCAACTTGCAGAAAACAGTTAAAATTCGTTTTTTTCTCCATGTTGTAACAGTTAGTGCTCTCCCTTTCCCTAGACTGTCATTGAGTTCACAGTCCATCCTAACCCATCATCAACATTTTCCTTGCATTTTGATGCAGTTTGGGAATGGAAAGCCATGTGCACTGACCCTTCTCCACCATCCACATTTATTTCAGGAGTTTTTTTGAGTTTCCTTTGACTCTAGATGCTGAATGACACCAGAAAATAAGGAAAACCAAAGTGAGAGAATGATTGAGAGTCATCAATTACGAACAACTTTTTGGCATGCAAATTGCATTCTTGGTAACAATTAGAATTATGTTAATAAGTAGACTTTAATTCTTTAACATTTTAGGCTGGCTGTTAAAGAGCCTGTTCTTCACTCTGTATATGGTGGAGCGTGGTGGTCACGCTTATCCAGTTGCTGTGCTGCTGTGGTGCCCATTTGCTGTTAGACAAAGGCTGTCTGCTATCTTACAGCTCTCACAGCTCATTTTAACTAGCAAGGGCAAGGTTTGCCTGCAGCTTTGTAACTCAAGAAAGAGATTCTAGCCAATCTGTGTAATAACAGTTATTGTAATTAATAGTTATCTGAGACTGATCATACTTAGATCTGTGCTGCCCACAAGTTTCTGTAAGTTGTGCTCCTGTCGCTGTCTGTAGGAAGCACCCCGACATTGTCTGCTCTCTACTGATGCTGATTTCATATGACCTGCGTGAAAAAGTGGATGCCAGTTTGGCTCCATCTCTGTTTTGTTTGTGGAACCCTTGTCATCTTCACTGAACACACACGAGCCCACTCTGGTTTGGAGCAAACGAACTGGCAGTGCCATTGAGGAAAGCTGGGCATTTAAGAGAAGGAAGTTTGCTCCAGGATCCATACCGTGACATGTTTCATCTTCTCTGCCTAAGGCAGTCCCTCAGGGGTATCTCAGCAGGCCTTCTCACCTCACCTGTTGAGTCCTGCCCTCAGACTATCCCACTTGCTGTCATGTCGTGCACCACTCCGCACAATACAGCTGTAGCTGCATGCTGGCAGAACACAGCTCTGGCAGAGAAGCCCTTTTATTGTTTGGCCTTCAGGGTAGTTTTATTTTGGCCGTTTTTAAATAAATAAAATAAAAGCTGGTGCTGGACCACCATGGATCTCTCAGGAGACCAGAGGAGATGAGCCCCCAGACCCGTACTGTTGTATGTGTGTCGTGGTTTAGCCCCAGCCAGCAACTC